GAGCTCACGTCTTTATTATGTAAAATCTGTGACGATATCACACATAGCCCAAAAACTAAGTAACTTCCCGCTTTCTGCACGCTGAGATCTTTTTTAAAAATTATTTATAATAAATGTGTAAATATCTTTATAATATTATAAAGAGAAAAAATTTAAGTGTTTGATTGCAAGAATAACATCCGAAACTACTGAACCCATTAAAATATTCTATAACCCACAAGAAGCTACACTACGGCCGGTTTATGAATTGAGAAGAGTATGAAATCTGAATTGATTATTCTGAATAACTAAAGTTTAAGTTTTACATAGCAAAAAGCTATAGTTTTATCAAACTGTTATCTACTGATCATTAAAAACATTAAAATCAGAACAGATTTAGTGACGAACGAAGTTGCGGAAACAGATAATCAGCTTTAAATTGAATCAAAAGTTAATCAATTTTCTCTATTGTAAAAAGAGTATAATTACGAGCAGTAATTTTATATGATAAAAAGAATTTTAAAAAAATAATAATAATATTCTTTATTGCAGAAATATAGGGCATATTACAAAAAAAGAATAATTTAGAGGTAACTGTGATGTTGTCAACATATTTTTTACTCGTATCTACAAACGTATACATTTAATTACAATTTATTATTTTATTTATTTCTTTGTTAATATTAATCGAAAGGAGATCAGGAGGTCAGATTTTTACACTTCAATAAGAGTGAGTTAACTGTCGAGTGTTAATTGAAACGTAAATTGGACGTTCTCTTAAGTCATAATAACAGGGGGCCAATATTACTAAATAATTTCGTATTTTTAATATGGTTTTCCTATTCTTTGAAAAGTGACATACGATACAAATCCAGTTCTATTTTAGCTGGAATTGTATCGTATAGCACTTAGTAGATTAGGAAAACCATTAAAAACTGTAGCTTCGTTCGGTTTCGATCCGTTTTCGATTCGATTTAAACAAAATTTATTTAGTAGAATTGGCCCCCAGATCTCTTCTTACCTTTCATAAACTTGAACTTGATGTAACAACAATTTTTATATTTTAATTTAATTTTTTTATATGACGGGAATCATACGTGTGAATTTGAGAAACCAAAAATGCTCAACAAAAGTGTATTTACGGTGCAATTTTTTTTATGAATTGTATGTTGGTTTTGTTAAAGCGCAGTGCTACCGGTGAGTTTCTACGGCTATTACCTAATACCTCTAATGGACGTCAAAGAAACCGCCGAGTCACAGTTCTGAAATCGCCTCGCCGAAAAGGAAAAAACATACATAATTCGATACATATCACCAAAATTGCTTCGTAAAATATTAAGCGAGCAAAACGGATTGGGCACTCGTAATTAATTAAAAGGTAGAACGTAGGGTCCTTTTACTTTACGGTTCAGGTACCTCGATTAATAATGTCAATTTTTTTCAACGAGAAACGACATAAAATCTGTTAAAAAGTGATCGTTTCTAATTTTTCTTTTTCAACATCTTTATAAATATTCACTGAAAATATTCTTAATGAAAAATACTCCGAGTACCTGAGGTTGGTAGATTCTTTAAGAATGTTTCATTAAGAATTGTTCAAATATAATAATTTGTGATTTCATGAAAAGTTTTACCTACAACTCTAGTGAGACGGAGAAGATAGCGAAGCAGAATAGGTTGAATAAACAATAAGCAAAGGAACTCAATATGGAAAATTTATCTCCTCACTCAACTATCTATTGTTGGTTTTCAACTTTAATTAATTAATGACACAACTTCAAATGATATTATTTAAGGATACCTGGTATGGGCTTAGCTTATGAAATATTCTTAGTGTAATCTAGATTGAGAAAAAAAAGCTATTGGTTTTATAATAAAATAAATAAATAACCAAAGATAATGAACAAGTCGGTTACTACGCTCTATTTACGTTTGCGGATATTGTACAACTTTCATAAAGCTCACATTACTAGGTCCGCTCATACTGTCTACTTGAAAATATTTTTATTTAATTTTAAATGTTACTAATTTCCAACCATTTAGTTTGTGCATCAAAGGATTTATTTTTAATTCATTTAGATAATTGTTTTCTCCTATAAAAATAATAATAAAAAGGTAGGTCTTGAAATAATGTTAGATTCGATTCGTTTTTAAATGAGGAAGTATTAAAAAAAAAATTGTTCCCGAAATCAAACTAGATGTCGCTACGGTACTTTCTTGATTTCTCCATAACACCCCTTCTGGTTTTCTTTTATGTATAAAAGTTAATTAATTTTCAAAATCCAATAAGCAACTCATATTCTATGTGTATTTTTTCGTATTTGTATTGATATCTAAGTTTTGAACTTTGCAATTTTTTTTTTTATTATTATGTTCGTTAAAAGGAACGAAAATGACTATATTTTGTTTTGTTTTGTTTTAAATATTCTCATTATATCCCTTAGAATGCGTACTGGACTTGAGAAGGGTAAGATAGGATTAGTTTTATCTCGAATTAATGGTGTATAACTTACGATACACTGGAAATAAATCGCTTGTAGTTTAACTTAGTTGTAATGTCTTCTGAATAATCCATTAAATAAATGTAGGTATATCTATACGCTTCAGTTTTTATTTTTTGAAAAATTATAAATATAGAAAAAGATTCTGTAGGACCTACAGACAAAACGTAAAAACGGAAACCATACGGACCCACTACCAGTATATATTAAGTTTAATGAATATTTACCATTCCCCTCCCCCAAGCCCTGAATTTACTGGGCTTAGTTTATTTTTTTAAATACAGAACATATTTTTGTCGATGTCATAAAAACTTTAGAAGGCATAAGTTAGTCTATAAAATTAAAAAAAAAATGGTTATATTTATCAAAATGTCCAACGAAATTTTTGTTTCTTTTTTCTTGATCATTCAAATTATTATACATACCAAAAGCAATTGCGACTTTATAAGTTTCATAATTTCATAAATTTCGATCACAATTGCTATATCTTATAAAGGGATTTCGATCGATTTTACGGTTCACAGTTTTAGATGATTTTTAAATGGATTACGTTACGTGACGCAAGAGTTCCCACCTATTACGATTCCGCTGGGATAATCCCGATTTTGATGTTTGACGGTTTGTATCAGAATGTTAACAATATACGCAATTGCTCGATTTGAGTGAATAAATTCACATGAAAAATTATAATTTCTCCTTTCTGATATGTAGAAAAATGTAATCGCCCTTACTAACTTAACTTAAGTAGGTATTATGCAAAGAAAAAATATAAAAAACAGAAATACGGGAAAAAGAATTCCTATTGATTTAAATTAGACCGAAATCGATTAAAGAATTATTCAAGAGTAATTCTTGAAATCAAACATATTGTAATTCTAATTATGAAAACATTTGCGGTGTAATGTCATATTACAATTATTATATTTTTATGTAATCAAATGATTTCAATTCAAACAATTATTAATATTATGTTTTATCCCTTCGTGTTTTGATTTTAACGAACAGTTTTAATGTGTTATTTTTTTACGTGTAAATTACCCTCTTACATACAGTTTCCTTTTTAAAAATACATTATATTTTTTCCTGATGAACTTCCAATTGCCCTGCTTTTTTTTAAAAAGATCATTGTCGTTGGATGTTATACTAAAAGACAAGAAGCACGTCAGGAGACATTTTCACGTTTTACCGCAGTCGGTGATTGTTAGTCGGTCAACTGAGACATAATTTCTTTGTTATCCCCAAATTAATCCTTTTCTTCTTATTTTTTTTTTTGTGAATTTTATGTTACATTCAAATTAATTGCCAAATCTTTTGTACTACACCCTTTTTAATTTTATTTTAACGCCTGGAAAGAAGGTTGAGCAAATTCATAGCAGCTACGCATTATACGCAATGGTTTAGAAGGCAATGCTTGAAAACAAGGACTACGCTTGTATGCTATTTGGATTATGACAAAAAAAAATGTTAATTTTGTCAGTCATGTACATTATTAAAAAACATTGAAATACTATTTTTAATTTTTTATGTAAATAACGTCTCGACAAAACAGCAAGTTTTGTAAAAATCCTCGAACTCGACGTGGAGCGCAGCTCTGAAACAGCATAGCTGATAAACGAATTTAAACTAATAAACAATACAATATTTGAATTAATATACACTGAGCAACTTACACGTCGGATTCTTCAAAGGAAGGCAGTCTTTTAAGGAAGTGACGTGCGCACAAGTCACTTCCTTGAATGACTGCCAGAGTACAAGACTTTGCTCTCACATTTGGTTCGGCAGACCCGGATCTGCGATTTTATCTAACCAGGGCAGACGCAGATACTGCACCCTGTCTAATTTTTAAAATGTTTGTGTTTGTCTCGTTCCTTTTTACTATTCCCCCCCCCCCCCTAGACCCTGCCTTGAGTATCGGTCAGTAAACAGTCACTGTAGGTACACTTATCGATCCATTTTCAGCTCAGCTCAATACTCATCAATAAAGTTTTTTTTATTGACATGATGACATACTAGTTGTGCCACCAGCACTGTTTACCACTAATTACTTTAATAACTATAATAACAATTACAGTTGGGCTGATTATAATAGAATTTTACTACTATACAAATTTACGACTAAAAAAATACATAAAGCGCTTCCAATATATACTTATTTACAAAACTTCGTCTTCGATAAGTCAATTGCATTGAATTTATTATTGTAAGTATTAAGCATTCGATTTTGTTAATATAATATAAGAAGAGTATATATATATATATATATATATAGACACTCTAATAAGAAGAGTGTATATATGTATATATATAATATCTTCTATTCTTCGATATAACAACGTCGTATAAATAAAAATTCTGTTAAAATCCATGATATAATATTTGTAGGTCAGCTTCAAAAAAAAACCTCAAGAACCATAGATTATCAGAACCCAGTGTAACAATAACTAAATTAAAAGACTGCAACACTGCTTGCCATAGATTCAATTTTAGAAATAGATGCTGGTGTCTTCGCCATGTTTAATTATAGCCTCGATCAGCGCGGCTCACGCCTGTTGAGATCCCGGCGTAAATACTAAAGGTAGGTATTTATTATAATATAATTTAAAAATCAAATTTGTAACAATTAACAAAAAAGTCAATAATATATCTAAATGTCCTTCATTGCGTTTAGGCGCCTGAAGTGTGTTCTAACAAAGTGCATATTTTTATAAAGGATTTTTTCTTAGGAACGAAACGTCTCCATTTAGGTTATGATCTATCAATATCTTCGGTAGTGGTATAATAATAAACGGAGTATTAGAGACGCTACGAAAACAGACTCACGACAGAAGAACAGTATTCGTAGTTTCAGTTTATTTAATTTAAAGCTTTATTTCTAAAGTCATAACCCCATGAAGTGGAACGAATGTCGTCCAATTTTCGCAACTTTATTTTCGAAATGCATACCCAGCTCACCTAGTGGTATAGTGTATCATATTCTAATAAACAAATTGCATAAATATATCATACAATAATGGAATCAAATTCCGTATGTTTAAGTAGCTCGGTGGCGTAGTGGATAATCACCACGGCTCGCGATCGTTGTAGATAAGCAACTCTCGCAAGGGTCGATCACGGGATGGGTGACCAATATAAATCGAGCTACTCCGTTCTTCGGAAGGCACGTTAAACCGTTGGTACCGGCTGCATTTGTAGTTAATACCCTCTAATCCGCATTGACCCTGCGTGGAGAGTCATGTATGACCCATCCTCCTTAACCATCCATAAGAAAGGTTCGAGCCCCTGCAGTGGGGACGTTAAAGAGCTGATGATGATGAATACATTATTTTACTTAGGTACGGCATAATGCTTATATCGTGTCGCCAATTTTTCTTTTTCGCCAATCTTTTAAGCAATGTAAATGCTTTGTAAATATTTAAATTGAATACTTAAGATACTCTGTGACAGATTAGTTCAGTCAAACAAATAGTCGAGGTAAATAATAGAAAACTCTCTTAACTATTTTAATTAAAATTTTACTGGTCGCTTTCATACAACATTTTTTATTAGAATAAATTACTAAAGGTAAAACACAAATTCGATTTAATATAACGACACCAATAATCACAAATGTCTAAAATTTATATGTAGTAGCACAGACATTAAATCATAAAAAAGATAGTTGTTAAATTATGTTTATAATAATACAGTTCTTTTTACGACGGTTGGCCTGATATACTTTTTTAAGAACATCATACAATTAAACCCCATCCAGACTCATGAAATTTGTAAAAAATAAGGAATTTTCGTGCATTTTCTAATTTAAGGAACACAAGTTTACGTCCACTACAATGTACTGTGATCGTAATAGGAAAGTATCGAGCAAATAAACATTCCTTGAATAATACGAGACGACGTCATCACTCACTAAGATTGTTCCTTCTGTCATAGTCTAAGATCCGAACCTAAATCGACCTTCACCGGGTTGATAATGGAATAAAACTTATTGTATAATTAATGTAGTATATTAGAAAATATATTAAAAATGGGTTCGCTAAAAAAATCTTGGACAGAATATCTTTAATTATTTTTTAAAAAATATTTTTTTATTAAATGTTGCAACATCAAGATAATAAGAAAAATTTAATTCTGACTTAAAACATATACCTGACAACCCAGTAGTTCGTCCAGATAAATAATAGACAACCCAACGTCTGCACATTCTATATGTTTTATACTTCAAGTCAGAATTAAATTTTTCTTATTATCTTGATGTTGCAACATTTAATAAAAAAATATTTTTTAAAAAATAATTAAAGATATTCTGTCCAGGATTTTTTTAGCGAACTCATTTTTAATATATTTTTTAATATACTAAATTAATTATACAATAAGTTTTATTCCATTATCAACCCGGTGAAGGTCGATTTAGGTTCGAATCTTCTACTATCAATATTGTCTAGTGATGCCAGATAAAGGGGCGTCCCGATTTCTACCGCAAAATTAAATGTCCCGCGCGGACGAACCATAATCCCGCTTTTAATGGATTATTTTTCACTAAGAGTAAAACGCAAGAGAACGACCGCTAAGAGAAAAGCACGAACGTATAAAAAAGAAAGAAGACCATTGATTTGAATATATGACAAAGTAGTTAAGTGTTACGAAATAATTATATCGTATAATTGTCACATAAGTGAAGTTGGCACAAAGTAAAGGATAAGAAAAAGAAACAAATTGTCGCCATAATAAGAAATAAGATGTCGTATCCTAAGGCGGCCCGAGATGAAAAATAACACTACCATTCCCGTACATAATATTCCTCGTTTTTAATTAGAATTAATTTAGACAATGTTTTGTTCACGATTAAATAGATATTTATCGCTTCGCCCCTTAATAAATAATCCTACTTTAATTACTATTCAATGGTTATTATAATAAATGATTCGGTGTTTAAAATAATGCTAGTTAAGATGATTTCTGTAGCTCTCGTACGACATTTACGGTTTGCTAGGGTTTAATTATTAGAGAACATTTACCTACTTGTCTGAACGAAATTTGAAATATGAATATCTCAATTATTGAAATCCTATCCTATTAATATTATAAAGGCGAAAGTTTGTAAGTATGGATGTATGGATGTTTGTTACTCTTTCACGAAAAAACTACTGGACGGATTTGGATAAAACTTTACAGCAATATAGGTTATACATCAGAATAACACATAGGGTACTTTTTACTGGGAAAACTTCTCACTCCCACGGGATACCGACTTCCACGCGGACGAAGTCGCGGGCGTCCACTAGTAATTTATATAAGATAGCTAGAGAGTGTAGTGGGTCGCTCGGTTAGCAATTAAAAAGATAAGCAATTTTAGGACTTTTTATTACTAATGGATAGTATGATGGTTGAGAAAAATTATTGAAAGAGAGACTATGTATTTTTTAAATCAAAAACCTCATTCAGTTCATTCAAAAAGGCGGTTACTAAATTCAAAAAAGTTCTTTTGAATTTGTGGATGAAAATTTTGCGAGCACAGAAGTGCGAACTTTAAGCTTTCAGCTTTATTTTTGATCCAATTCTTTTTTTTTAATTGCCCCACTGCCGCAGGAGGGCCTTTCCGATGAGCAGTCAAGTAATAATAATTTGACATTTTCATTATGTTGGAAGTAGCACAATTAGAAGTATTGGAATCGATTCGAGTGAAGCCTAGTACAATCGACCAATACTTTAAAAATCACGACTGACGAAATCGAACTAAAAAATAAAAGAAACAAGTTGAACAAAACTCTTAGATTACGGACCCTCGACAAATTCAATGAGAATTTTACCTCAATTCAACTTGTTTCTTTTAATTTTCAGTTCGATTTTAGCAGACAAGGTTGTTTTTTATTTTTAATTTGTTTATTTTTGGTTTATTCCTTTTATTGAGCAGTTAATTACGTATAAAAATTAAATATTTTTGGGATATGCTCATTGAGACCTTTAATTTGTTACTCTTATTGCTGTAATTAAACAAAAAAGTATTTATATTTTTAAATGAAGTTTACATCCACTATATTCAATATTTAAAAAATGCAGTAACATTTACAATGATAACGTATACTTTCATAACCATTAAGTATTTTTAAACTAATGGTGGAAGAAAGAAACTCGTATATATATTATCTCTAAACTCAACACTGGTATGGGTAGTCGTGCAAAAATATGGTCTATGTTTATGTCACGAAACAAAAAGATAGCTATACTCTTCTAATATCATTACATAAAAAACAATATTTAAGCCAAATATTTATATTTCAGAAAACCGGATTGGCAGACAATAAGTATACATATATGTATATATATATATTATGTCGCTAAGACTCAATTATCGCTAAGACTGACTTTTCTAATGCAGTTTGGATGCCCGTATATATATATATATATATATATATACCGATATATATATACGATAATTGAGCTAATCCTATTAATATTATAAAGGCGAAAGTTTGTAAGTATGGATGTATGGATGTTTGTTACTCTTTCACGAAAAAACTACTGGACGGATTTGGATAAAACTTTACAGCAATATAGGTTATACATCAGAATAACACATAGGGTACTTTTTACTGGGAAAACTTCTCACTCCCACGGGATACCGACTTCCACGCGGACGAAGTCGCGGGCGTCCACTAGTTGATTTCATAATTGAACACGGAAACTTTTGTCACAACTGGTAGACAACTTTCTTGGCCGGCCGTACCTGAGCTGGTTGTAGTATATTTATAATAAATATTATTTTTTTTATTAATCCCCATAATCAACTCAAATGCCCTTTATATTCCATAATGCTAATGTACTAATTTTCAGACACATGACACTCATATTACCCCCTCTACCGATGCGACGCATCGTCCAGACATTATATTCTAATAAAATACCAACGATCCGCCAGCCCCTGAACACATTCGATTGACATTTAAGATCACTCTGAACATGTTCTATAAGCGAATAGAATTGTTTTGTTTTATATTCGATAAATATAATTAGAATTCTATCAGCTTCGGCTTTGGTAAATGGATATTACAACAACAACAACGTAGATATAAACAACTAGTTAACAAAAGTATTTAGATTATGTTTGGTGCCAATTCTGTTCCACTCCTTAAATTAAATTAAATCAAATAAAAGTAATATCAATTTAAGTTCGTTTTAAATTTATTTTAAGTCACATTTATTAAGGAAATATCCCTCATTATACTCCTGTGTGTAGACTATATTAGTTTTTTATTTCCCGTGACTTCACCAGTATTAATTACATCCCATAAATGAAATAATTTTTATAATCGGTTCATTAGTTTCCGGGCGAATTCGACACAAACAAACATACAAATCTTTCCTCATTACAATATTAGTTTAGATTGAAATACGTCATCTTAGTTATTCACAGAATTAATAACATGGGAGAGCCACGCTTCGGCATGAATGGGCCGGGCCGGCTCGACCGGAGTGATACCACGGCCTCACAGAAAACCGACGTGAAGCAACGCTTGCGTTGTGTTTCGTCGTGTGAGTGAGGGTACCGGAGGCCCAAATCCTCCCTATTCCCTTCCCTCT